CTCCTGGCATGGGGCAGCCAATCCTACAGCCTTGCACAGAAATAAAATTTGTCCCTTGCAGGTGGTGGTTCTGAATCCTGATAATTTTTCCTCTGGCATAACTGGCTTCTAGTCAGGGAAACACCATCCAMCACATAATGTTTGAAACCTTCCTGATCTCTTCCCTGTATTTTACTGACTCCCAGAGGAATTTCCTGGAGTCTTACTGGCACCTGTATGACAAGGACGGTGGTGTTACTTCTTTGTATTAAGTTGTCGTTTGCTCACTTTCTCTGTAATTTTCCTCGTTGCTTAGCACAGCACAGTAACATATGGGTTTGCCATTTGGTTGCTGCAGTACAGGGTTTTTTATTATTCCAGGGTCCTGATGGCAGCAATGTGAACAAAATTCACTGATGTTCCTGGCAGCACAGAAGGCCAGTGCCATCCTGGGCAATGTAACCAGCAGGTCAAGGGAGGGGATCCTTCCCTTTTACTCAGTCTACAAGTGCTGGGTCTGATTCTGCTCCCCARTGCAAGGGAGGCATGAACACACTGGACAGAGTCCAGCGAAGGGCCACAGATATGGTGAAGGCCCTGGAGCATGAAAGGCTGAGAGCTGGAACAGTTCATCCTGGAGAAGAGAAGTTTCAGAGGGWTTTTAGCAGTGTGTATCAATATCTGATGGGAGGAGTAAAGAAGACAGAGCCAGAATGTGCTCTGCGGTACACATTTGCCAGAACAAGAGACAAGGGGCACAGAGAAAAGACAAGAATTTCCACTTCAACAGAAGAAAAAAAATTTACTATGTGAGTCMCCCACACAGGCTCTGGGGTTTCCATCCACAGAGATATTAAAAACCCAAATGGGCACAATTCTGACCAGTCCGCTTTAGGTGGTTCTTCTTGAGAAGAGAGGGTGGACTAGGCAATCTCCAGAGGTGCCCTCCAGCCTCAGMCAATCTGTGGTTCTGTGATTATCATACACTACATATTTTGTGGCTGAAGTGATAACGAACACCTATGTTTTTTTCACTTCAATAATGTTTGCTTATTATAAGTACTTTACAGCTTATAATTTTAATCATAATAAAAGAAAACTTCCTTATTATTGTTCTGCATTAAGTAATACTGAACATTGTAACCAAATGTTTGCCAGTGAGAATAATTGACTTGATAATAAACTTGTTATCCAGGCAGAGCTAAAGTGGAAGTACCTTAATTTTTGAACTCCTCATTCTGTGTTCACATAATGTGTTATCTGGTGATAACACATCACTTAGTCTGGTGATCTTGTAAGGGGATGGGGCTATGATGGAGGGATATGAGCAATAGAAGATGATGTGGAAAGGTTTGAGAATGGACTTCTGGAGAAGCCAGTTAGGGGACAAGAGAACTTTTTGTGACCTTCAGCCTCCCAAGGAGGGAGTAACTCAGCTTCAAAACTGAGRAGAAGCTGGTGAGAAGAGAGGCTTCTTGTCCTTTCTCTTGTTTGTGAGAATTGCTGGCAGGCACATGCTTGCCAAGTTTGCTGCTGCTGGCTCCTTTCACTGGGAACTTCACCAGGAGGCTGTTTATTCCCATTCCAGCTTCAAGGGAGAGCCCTGGCCTTTATAGAGCTGCAGAGATGAGGCTGTGAAWAAACGTAAGGTTTTTGCTCCCAGACCTTTGTGTTCGTTTATACTGTTTAATCTCTGTGTTGTTTCTCTTCTGTTTACTTGATTTCCTAGAGCTTGAGCAAAGTGTCTTTTTTCACATCTGCTCATTTTGCTTCATCCCATTCATGCCTGAAAAATACCTAAGAATATTTCTAATGGAGACTCTTGCCATATTTACCTTTCAGAAAAGGTAAAAAAGAACTTTTCGTGTACAAGGTCAATATTTTACAGCACAAAGTCTTTCTATTTTAATTTTTTTTACTCCACTTTGTTTTGACTGCTGAGAATTGATTGGCATACATGTGATTCAATACAGTAACCAGCAGACTGTCAATCTTTCATCATCTTAGACTTGTCACTCCAGAATGATGGAATGCAAAGGTTTAGGATGGATTGAAGAGCTGTATGAATTTGTGAGYTGACCTTTCTCTCCTCCTCCCATTCTCTCCCTGCCAAAGCAATGATATCCTTGCCTTTCATGGCATGGTTATTTGGGCATGCAGTAAAACAAAAACAATTCACAAGGGCAAAGAGGTCTGTTCAAATGCTTTAATTATATATTTCAAATGGAATCTCTCAATTTGCCATGAATTTATGCAGTGGTTTCCCCTTCACTGTGTTTCTGTGCAATGATGCTTTAGAAACAGCGTGCCTGCTCACACCACATGGGTACAAAGTGGCACTGCTGCCTGTATGCAGGTGCTTGAGGATTTCTCTTGCATTAGAACAGCAGGGGTGGCTCCTGCCAGGTGGCTCCAGGTCCCCAAATGCCCAGAGTCCTCTAAACCCTTCTGTCACAGGTCACCTCTRTCTGGGAACAGGCATTCAGGGGCAGTGGTGAGGCTGCAGTGTGAGGCTTGTCTGTTTGGACACTTCATGGGCGTTTTTGTGGGATGAGAAGTGGTCCTGGAAAGGCTTCCCCTCAGCCATCACCAGTTCTTACCTTGTGATGGTGAAGAGAAGAMCCTGACCAGAAAGGGCTGTCAGTTACATGCTGTATTTCTGATGTCCCTTGCACCACCAGCAGGGTTTTCCCATATCCTGATGCCGCAGGAATAACTTGGGCACCTTCATACTGGATGAAGAAGTATATTGCCATGAAAATTGTTCCAGATTGCCATAGATACTCTCACTTGCCTGCAGTGTAGCCAAACAAGAAATGCTGAGCACTGGGGGTTTTCTGGGAGTTTGGTTTTTATTACAGAATAGTCTGGCACAACTGTTTCCTGTAATTCCCTGTTAAAACACCATACCTTGCAGCTGCTAGCTACTATTTCTCAAAGCAGACATCTGTGTAGCTGCATGGATTGACCACATAAAACAGCTCCTGTGTTGGCCTTAAGTGACTCTTAAAATTAAGAGAGCATTAAAGTGCCTCAATTCAAATACATGTARATGGTGCACTGGTGCTGACGTAGTGTTTTTCAGAGCTGGTGTCCTCCAGAACTAACCTTGGTTTTCTCCCTTCAGAATAACTACTTAGTTTGTTAACAAGTAGAGGGCAAGAAATTTGGCAAAATGCAGCATTGYTTGCTTATAGCAGAAATGTGACTGTTTTGGCTTGAGGTTTCTGAGCTGGTTCCTCTCCACACAGTAGAACTAAGACAGTTTCATCCGCCTTGTCCTCTACAGGGAGCATCAAGTATAAAACCACCAAACCTCAAATTACCTACATTCAAGTTTGGAGCGTGAAGAATTAACCAAACATTTGTTTGACATTAAAAAGGAGCTGAGGCATATTTATGCTTCCTGCTTACAGGATGGAAAGCATGTGACATGCAGAACAAGGCCTTGGAGCTGTTTGCTCAGACAATGCTGGAAGGCACAGTAAATGAAGTTACAGGAATACACTTGTAATGCACTTCTGGGCTGGTTATTTTTTTCCTCAGCTTGAGAACACTTTTTAGGCCATGCTTCAATTTCTCCATTGATAAAAATGTAAAGGATGTTTTCCAGTGTCCTTTCCAATATACCATTAGAATGCCAGTAAAAATACCATAAATTAGATTATGCTGTAACACTCCCTCTGTCATCTCTTGCATGTTTTCACTGGGTGTTAGGCAGCAACCCTCAGTTCTTTCCTTTTTTTCTYTTGGCTTGCTTACCACTTCTAAAATAGTTTGAGGCCAGCATTGGGCTCCATGGGTTTGTTGGCATAGTTGTGCCAGCTTGGATTGTGAACTGCCCTCTCCCAGCCAAGGCTGCTGGGCTGGCAGTGCAATTTGGGCACAGCTCTGTCAGCAGAGGTAAATTTGGAGATGGCATTCTCCCTTCCTTTGTGTCAACTGCYTGCATTGTCTTTGAAGCAAGTAGTGTATTTCCAGTCTGCTTTTAGTTGTGTGTATGCTACAGATAAAGAAAATGCTGCACTGACATCAATAAATATTTATGTATGAGTGTGGTCAGAATGAAGTGGGGAGATTTTTTTCCTTTATCTGAATTGCACTTGGGGAACAGACAATGATGAAACACTGTGATAAATACGGCCCAAATAATTTTGAATTGTTTGTCATAGTTAATGCATAYCAAAGTTGTCATGTGTAGGTTATGAAGGGGATGATTGTGTCTGTGTTTGGTTTTTTGGACTTYTTTTTCTCAATTTCTGAGARCTAGGATGATCTRAATTTTTACTGTCCARTATGATARATACAAYGAAGCTTCTGCTAAGGGCTCTGGCTGTTGACAGTGAGAGGTCTTCTCATCTGACACGCCAGCAGTGAAGAAGGTTAGTGGGACACTGGAAAGCTGTTTTGTTTTTTACCCAGCTGTGTTTCCAGTCAGATACTGGGTTCTTTCCGTGATTTCCATAGATGATGTAATCACATTTGCCTGTGTATTAGACAAAATTGGGTCCTGAAATCAGTCCACACTTACCAAAGCAGAAAGTATGTCCATGTTTGTTTTTTCCTCCAGTGGATTGTCCCCTCACTTACAATTCTGATAATCCATGACCAGGAATATTTTGTACTGCTGTTTGTTGCTGCTTGCACATGAAGAATTGTTTAAGTTTGCAGAAGTATGACCTCATCATGCTCTTGAAGTTKCAGTTTCTGAAAGAAGAGATATTCTCATTGGAGGTTGAAACRTGACATGTATGACTTTTTTTTAACTCTGCAAGAAGACTTGAGGTTTTAGGAAAAGAGGATTTGCCCCATTCAGTAGATTCTTATGAAGTTCTAGGTCAATAGGTTGGAAAGATTGATGCATTGAATTGAATCATTTTGAGGTTACTGATTTGACACAAAAGGTGTTATTTTAATGCTTATATTCCTTTATATATGGGAGATATATATATATATATATATATATATATATATGTATTACTCAATGGTATTTTTGTTTGTTTTCTCTTTATTTCCCACAGAAACGTTCCAGAGGTCAAATGCTTTTTGACAAAGTGTGCGAGCATCTGAACCTTTTGGAAAAAGACTACTTTGGGCTAACRTACAGAGACACAGAAAACCAAAAGGTAACCCACAAAACTGCGTGTGAACATAAGAACTCCCTGAGACAATCCCCAGACMGTCACAAACAAYCCAGAAGTTGGTTTTATCTTCCTTKCCAAGTTCCAGTATGAACTATTGTTTTTGGTGACTACTTCTCAAGAGCATCTGCTGTGTTTTCCTGGGTTCCCTCTCCTTCAGCTATTTATGACATGAAGGATATTAATCATACAGCTGGTTCTCTTTCTAATATGATTTATTCCTTTACTGTCATAGGTGAAAATCAGAGTTACACTCAGAGATACACTGCAAAACACATAATACTAAAATATGGCTTAATAATAGTGGTTGGGACACATATAGGCAGGAGATGATTGACTGCTCCTGCCGACTGCTAAGATAAGGGAAGGCACTAAGCCTTGACTTTATCTTAAAGTTATTGTTGATTTGACTAAAGACATTCGTCTTCAGCAGCAGTTGGTAGCAATAGTGAATCACATTCTGCTGTCCTGCATCCCAAATTCAGTATGAAATAAGTTGTGTATTATGAAATAAGTTGTGTATTACAAGTGTCCAAGATGATCTATTGTGCAGGTGAGATACATGTATACCTATATATATATATATATATAGTTTGGGACATAGTACAATGAAGGAGAGAGTATCAAAGGCTAATATAAAAATGTTATTTTGGCATTTTAAGATAAATATTTTGACAGAAACCAGTACAAAACTTCTTAGCATTGTGCTCAGAAGCTCAGCAGAGCTCACCAAGCAATTTGTGTTTTGTGTGGCCTCAAAAGTCTTCCCTAATGGAGCTGAAACTATTACTACTTTTTCAGCTGTTTATGTCTTATCACATAATTTAATTTCAAGTTGTATTTTCTAAGCTTCCTTTTGTTTCAAATATACATGATACAGAAGAAATCMGTCTTTTTGTCTCTTTTCCCAACTTTCATTACAGGCTTTGCTTCTGATTCAGAAAATCACTTAAGCAAATACTTGGCCCATGCCAGTGCAAGATAATGCTTTAGCATATGCTTAGTTTTGAGTTTTGATAAAAACTTGGCAGAAGTCCAAATGCATTTCCAGACAGGTTTGCTTTCCTACTGGAAAGAGAAGCACGGGTTTATTATTAACATGAGGTTTAGAAGCACTAAACATTGGTAGCTCACCAGTTACTTTACAGAGCTAAACAGGTAAAAGAACATCTACCTGCCACCACTTTTATTGGTATTTTATGTTATTTTATGTTATTATCAATAATATGCATATTTTTAATGTCAAAGTACTTAGCAATTCACCTCCATCCTCTGGCACATACCTTCCAGCCAGACAAYGCATGAGCCCACATCACATGTCATCTTTGCAAACAGAAATCCTAATGCATCTTTAATTTCTTGGTGCATAGTGTGCTTTTATGCTCAGCAAAAGCTGGAGTTCTTCAGCTCATGTTTTGCACCACAGAGCAGGTTWGGACAGCTGCAAACTGGTTGTTTTCGTTGGGGAGGGATTGTTGTGCTCTGCTTGTTTGRTATTTCTTTAGTGTTTTATTGTCTCTCTGGTACATTTGTTTATCTTTCTTTGGAGAAGGTGGAACTTTCCTGGGGAAAGCGAACTTTTTGTTCTGGGCTGTGACGCATTTTAAATATGAATTTGATTCTCTTGGAGGTCAAGGCAGCAGAGGCACTGAGACCCCAAACTGCTGTGTGCCTCCTCCAGAGGAATTTCATCTGCTCCCTGGCACCCATGGAATACTAACACATCACTGGGATAATTCCCCACCTCCTCAGCAGGGTTTTTGTCTTGCAGAGTCACTGGGCTCTGCATGGTGTAGGTGGGGGCAGAGCTGCTGTGGTTCTGCCTCTGGTTTTCCCCAGGGAGCCCCTCAAACCCACGCTGCATTGCAAACAGGATAGTGCCCTCCTCTGCACTTGCTTATCCTCTAGCAAGTCTTTTCAGCCTTCCCAGGATTAGAGAAAAAAATCAATGGAAAAAACCTCTTTGTAGCAAGCTTGTAGAAATTTAGTTTTCCCAGAAGATACTCTGCAAAAAGGCTTCTGTGGGTTCATTTTACCAATTCCTATTTTTTTAGTCTTTTATTTCAAACAGTTCAGGCCCTCAAAGTCTGGGAAGGYTAATAAAAATCCTGCTTCTACCCAAGGCCACATCTTGAAAACAGAGTGTTAGCCCTGCCCAGGGCTGCTCCAAGGAAAAAGGAGCTGCAGAGCTTCACATGTTCCAGCTTTGTCTCATAGCGCTGTTTTAAAAATAATGTTTATTGTGTTTTCTAATTAAAATTGAAAAAAGGAAACATTTTCTTTGCAGAATTGGTTGGACCCTGCCAAGGAAATCAAGAAGCAGATCCGAAGTAAGTTTGTTATCATTGCCCCCTTCTACATGTCTCCCCATGGGGRCAAATCCTACTTCACAGTCATCTTTTGTATCCTGTCTCAAGTCTTTAGCAAAGGATTTATCTCCATCTTTTATGTTTTTTACCCTATGATGATGGTAAGGCATTACTGATGCTTGTAACACATGAACTTGCATTGCTGAAAACAACTTGACATTTGCAGAGATGSAAAATCCTGAAGTTTGACATTAAGCAATGTAACCTTAGGGACTAGGCCAYGTATATGAATTATTTCTTGCATTAGTGATATTTATATCATATCCAGAAATACTGCTCATGCCCCATRCTGAACTAATTTGTTGGTACAAAGATAGTACTCAGTCTAAAATCTTTCCTTTCTGCTTTTCAGAAGCTTGATCTTTCCTCCTGAAATGATSATTCAGTCAATTTTCTTATTCACATGAATCTTTTAAAAAGCTCAATTGTTATAACTAGGAGTCTGCTACATAGAAATTCAAAAACCTCTCAAAAGAAAACCTTACTGAGTCTGCTGGGCTCAAAATTTGACTTGTGTGTTTTTTACTTCCCTTCACTTTTAAAAATTGGCAAAATGTTTATGTGTATGACTTCTGTGGGCAGAAAAGCCTCAGTAACCATTTTTTCTTTGCACAATTAGTGAATGACCTCTTCTAGAACTTGTGTATTCGCAAATAAATGTATCTGGTAATTCACATTTGTTGGGTCAAATAAATCCCTTCTCTCTCTAAGATTCAAAGGTTTAATTTACAAGGTTAATTTACAAAGGGTTTATGGTGGGAAAATTTCCCCTCTTACTATGAACAACCTCCCCTTTCCTCCAGTATTTTCATTACAAGTAAGTGATCTGCAATACAAAGTAGTGAACATTTGCCTTTTTTAAATCCCATGAATGGATGGATCTGGAGAAGAAGGTGCTTTAGACCTCGAAGTGTCGGGTTACACTGATGGTCCATACAAGTAAAGCAGCTCAGCTGCCCCTCACCTATTTGAAGGGCACTTAATATGTACCCAAGCCATGAAAAAGACAATGAAAGGTTGTGACAGCAGGAGATTAACCAGGGCAGAAGAGTCCTATCCTGGACTTGAGGCAGTGGACAGTTGTATTTGCAGAAARTGACAGTAATAATTTGCCTTCTCTGTACAATTCATCCCAGAAGTCTGGAACAGGCCAACAAGTGGAAAAGTAGTGCTGTTACCCATAATGCTTTCCCAAACATAGGTACAGTCCTGCTAAATGCTGGGTGAGTTGTACAGCACTCCGACCCCAGTGCTAGGATTTCATCCCAGGGATTGAGAAAGGAGCATGTGTGTGACCTTGGTTCACACCCCGTTAGTTATAGCCCACTAGCCTGCACAGTGTTAGGTTATATTCCAACCCCTGTAAATATGGGGTGAAGGCTGTTTAGTCCTCTGTMTTAACCATCTGTGTTATTATGATAGGTTTTATCATAGCTTTGATTTATTTTGTGTGTGCCAAGGAAAGGGTTTACAGGCCATGGCCCCTTCCATCTGTTGTGGGATCAGGTCTCACCCACTGGCTGCATTCTCACCTTGGGGCTGTCTGCTACTATATGGGACCATGCCTCATCCTCTCTGCCAGCCAAATCTTCCTTTAACCATTTTTTATGGCCCAAGAAAATGGGAAAGTTCCTAAAATTAAGGACTCCAAAAGTCTTACCAAGAGCCAAAGTCCTGAAGTTTGTCAAAACTCTTCTTGCACATTTGTGGAATCACTGAATTGTTTGTATTGGGTGGGACCTCAAAGATCACCTAGTTTCAATGCCTGCCATGGGCAKRGACACCTCCAYTAAACCAGGTTGCTCAAAGCCCCATCCAGCCTGGCCTTCAACATTTGAGCCTGTTTTCTCAGATGTGTGGATGWCCAAAGTAGATGGGGCTCTGCATGGGATGAAATTACCTCGTTGCTTGTAAGAACACTGTGGTTTAGGGTTTTGTTACTGCTTTTCRTTTGCATTCAAGTCATGTAAGAGTGTAGCCTAACCCTTTTTTTCAGAATAGCTTCTATATTTACATACCATGTTCAAGGCTTTTTTTTTTTTTAAATCTTGATATTATTTCTTTACAACATTTAAAGCTAACAGTCCAGAAATAATTTTGCCAACTCTGGCGATACAAACCAGTGTCCATCCCGTGGCTCAACTAAATTTAGTGAAATAATTAAATAAGAATTGCCCAGTGCTATGTATTTTTTYGGCTATACTCTGTGTTTGTCCTTGCAGTTTTGTCTGCACAATAATTTATGTCTGCTGAAGAAAGGAGCTATGTGCTGAGGCAGCACTCTGAAAGGATGCTGTGAGCTAATTTGGGCAGCTAGACCTCAGCACATCACCCTGCTCCAGAGCCCATTTGTGCTTTGGCTTGTGGTGTTTCCAGCACCTCTGTGTTTTGGGTTATTGGTTTTTAAAGCTTTACAGATTCTTTGTTGCTTATTTTCTGTAAACTTTGTTCTTAGGTTGAGGGTTTTTTTAGTGTCAGTAGTAAATTACTGCTCACTCAGAGTCCTCACTTCAGTGGAAATCCTACTAAATAAAGAAAAGAGCTGTAAAATCTGATCTAATTCAGTATAATCAGTACAACATGTGGGAAAAATATTCTAAAACCTTTTTTTACTAATTGCTTGTCTGGATTATTTTTAAGTCTAATGGTGATTGAATAACATGAGCATTCTGTTTGCACTTGCAGTGTACTTTCAGTSAATCTGTGTTCTTTTCCAGGTGGTGCTTGGCAGTTTGCATTTAATGTGAAATTCTACCCTCCAGACCCTGCCCAGCTATCTGAAGACATCACCAGGTATTTTGACCTTTAAATACCTTTTTAGAAGTTGCTTAAAGCTGTTGCTGGTAGTATTTACACTCTGATTATCCAAGAAAAGAAATGTTTTATATTCTCAATGTCTTTCTTTTTCATAGGAGCTTATGGAAAACACACAATGCTTTGACAGAAAAGACAGTGTGAACAGAGTCTATCCTCTGTGTTATGAAATCTTTTGTATAATTTAACCCTAAACCCCAGCTTTTTCAATATGTATATTCCTCACAATTGGTTTTAATTTTCACAAAGATGCCTGATGCCCATTTTTGCCAGTGGTAGCAAGTTATTACTCTAAGTTGTTACTTTATGAAAGAAGTGAGTTAATATTGTGGTCTCATGACCATACTGAATCCAAAACAGAACAAGAACTGTACGAGCTACTTAGGAAAAAAATGTACTCTTTCACAGCTGAAACCAGGATAATGACAATAAGCATGCATACAACTTTTGTATATCATTTGACAAAGTATGCAATTGATGTGCATGGAATAAAGAATAGCTGCCCCTGCTCTCCAAGTCCCTTAGCTCTGCACTCTACACCTCTGCTCTCTAGTTTTGTATTTAGATAACCACAACTAAAAAAAGAGACAACCCTCACCTGATTTCCTCCTTGGAAGGAGGCACGAAAAGTTCAATTACTTTCTCTGGCATCAGCTAACTGTTCCCCAGCCTGTTGCAACATTTGGCAACCTTTGAATATTTTTAACCTTCAGTGCTTTAYGGACTACTTGTTGCTTTGAAGGAAGCATGAAGCCTTTGGCTGAGATCAGGGTCCCCTGTGGTAGGTACCGTGTACACTTGAACAGCGGACTTCCAAAGGAAGGGATTGCTTTATTCCTCTTCTGACTCTCAAATTCCCCCTGGGAACTCTGCGACCAAATCGATGCTCTTCCCTTTTTTTCTGCTTTCATCTATCTGGTGCTTTCATATCTCTGTAATTGTAACAGTATTTATTATTCAAATATATTTTTGAGAAAGGACAACAGGTTACTAAAGACACAGCTTATGTTTTTTTAATTACTTGGAGTTCGGCTGCTCTTAAATGTACAGTATATGAAGTATATTTTTTTTTCTCCTTAAAAAATTATCAGGTGGTTTTATATCTAGTGATTTATGATGGAAGTTGAGTATGTTTAATAGGTATTTCTTCATCTAGGTCACTAAACAAAGTAATAAGCTATTTTATTAGGAGATCCCCATACTCCCATATAAAGATAATTACATGTTCCTACTAATAAATTAGGAAAGAGCTTGGTGTTTTGGGGTTTTTGGTTGCTGTTTTTACAAAATTATTRTTGTCCTTGTAAATGCCTGAAAATCTCTGGGTTTGGGAGCTGTCTGCTAATTCCTAGCAGAACTTTGCAGCGCTCAGGCGGTGCTTCTTTGGGTGCAGCAGTGGAGGAGCCCTGTGTGAGCTGCTTTGGTGCTCCCTTGCAGGTACTACCTCTGCTTGCAGCTGAGAGATGACATCGTTTCGGGTCGGCTGCCCTGCTCGTTCGTCACACTGGCCCTGCTGGGCTCCTACACCGTGCAGTCGGAGCTCGGTGACTATGACCCGGATGAGTACGGCAGCGACTACATCAGCGAATTCCGCTTCGCACCGAACCACACGAAAGAGCTGGAGGACAAAGTGATCGAGCTGCACAAGAGCCACAGGTGAGCTGAGGGCACAAGTGTGAGCTCCAGCCCACTTCAGGCACCACCCTGGTGCATCAGGAGCTGTYCTGTTCTGCGGTGGTGTATTTAATATTATTCTGACATGATTCCTCTCTGTGTGTTTGGGTAGAGAAGGGCTTTGCAGCATGAAAGTTAACAGGGCTGTGGCTCTGGTAGGCACACTGCTACCTAAGGAGTATGGCTGTAGCTCTGACAGGCTGAAAATATTTTCCAGCTGCTGGATTTTCTTTCGGATTCTGTTTCCTTACCATTTATACTAGAACTGGTTACTTTTCCACAGGGGAATGACACCTGCAGAAGCTGAGATGCATTTCCTGGAGAATGCCAAAAAGCTATCAATGTATGGAGTAGATCTCCATCATGCCAAGGTATGTACTTTGGTTCTTCCCCTGGCCATATTGCCCCTGTGGCACAGTACTTGAATGGACTCCCTGATTTATTCTTTCTTGTATTCTTGAGACAGGAATTTTGTGGGATAAATCATGTGTCAACATGAGGAAAGGTGACTCATGGGATAAGCGTAAATACATCTTAAAACCACAACATAACTTAGCCTATAGATTCAAAGATGTTGCATATCAACTTTCATGTTGACTAAACAATGCTCTCCTTGAGGAAAATATTGAATGGATGGAGTGATGAGGAAGGATATTCGAAGCTGTCCAGAGAGCGGTCAATTGTCATTTAATTCAGCTACATTTTTCAGTTTAATGAGGCCAACTATGCTGTCTTAACTGGATAGCAGGTAATTTCTATGCTGCAAAGAACCTCCAAGCAATTATTTAGCTGTGCTGGAAACCTAATCAGGTTGATGATAATGGGGAGACAGCAGCTTGTCTCTTTCCTGAAGTGTGGTTGTTGCGGTTGACAGGGAGGGCAGTAATTCTCCCAGAAACATTCTCCCATGATCAAGTAGTTTCTCTAATCATCAGCAGGCTAAGTTATGAATAAAACATGGTCATTCTTATTGTGGCTTGGGAGAGCCACCTATTAGCCTTGTGATTTTTGGGTTTAGGGKTTTTTTTCCCAAATAAATAATTACTATTGTTTTCTTCACTCTTCAGGGTAAGACTAATGGATTTTAACATTTTTGAGGTTAGCAAGCATCCTTGGCAAATGAATATTGAACCAAGGAATTCTGCCTTGTGGAGAGAACTGCATTTTCTGTAAAGGTCAAATTATTGTGAGCCTGTTTTTTTGCTGCAGCAGATCCTTTCAAGAATTGAGATGAATTTGCAGCTTGGATCTTGAAAGAGCCTGCAGCTGTATCCCTGGGGCATTTCACAGGAGCTGTGCATGTTACAGAAGGCAATCTTTTGTGTTCTGTTAATTGCCTTCACTGAAAATGAAGAATCTGGGTATGGCTCAATGGGCGTGGCAGATGGAGGGATGCCACTGCCTTCCCTKTGTCTTTCAGATACACACAGAGTCTTCAGGCACATTTGGAGCAGAGAGAAACGCATTGGCAAATGTCACTTGATGGCTTTTTTATGACACAAAGAAATCCACAAACCAGTGACAAAGTGGATAACTGTTTCAAATGAGTTAAAGTTTTTGTTATTGAAATTTTTACATAACATAGCATTAAGGCCTAAGAATTTTTGCAGGATGTTGGAGAATAGTTGTGAAGTTTGAGGTGGGATATTAAAAGTCAATCATTTTATTTATCCTTTTATGGAAATGTATTAGTATCATGGTTTGATCTTATTTTTTTTTCATATGGAACGACTCAAAGCAAGAGAAGTTGATAGAAAAACAAATCTCTCTCTATAGTGATGCTTTTAATTTAAAAATGCTGCAGTGGTAACCAAGTTGTGTCTGTCTGTGGGTAAAGAAACCTGACTGCAATCTTGTAAACTKAGCTGAAGGTGGGAAAATAGACTTTGTGTGAGAAGTCATGTTTAGTTTTAATTAGGTCTGCCAGTGAGATCTGATGGTGTCAGGCTAGGGAGCAAGTGTCTCTGTGCATACTTTTTGGAAGTCGTGGCAAATGTCTCTGTGTAAATGTCAATTCATTAAGGCTGTGCCAATATCTTAGGTGTCTGACAGATGCTGGACTCACCAGCTGCCATTAAAAGTGGTTCTCAGTTATCCAGTGCAAGGCTGCATTGAAAAATGTGTTCAAATAGACAGATTTGTCCTCAGGTTGTCGCCATTCTGAGCAGCCACACCATCTGTATGCAGAGCTAAAGGGATGTGCCTTGGACCTTACAGCTAACAGGTTTCTGCCCCATGCAGCTGCATGGCTCCTGGAAAAAAACCAAATTCCTTTATTCAGGTTTTGTTTTACACCACTAGTAGCACATTGGAAAACAGTCTCTGACACCAACAAGTAACAGAAGTCTTGAATAAACTTACGTCTGTGGCAAAGGTGGAGATAAGGGACGAAGGCATTTCTCATCARCTTTTTGAGAAAGTGTATCAACGAATAGAGCCCTTTGCACTGCAGAAATGTGTCATGTATGAGCAATTCATTGCATTTCAAGCATTCAGTGGGCAGTGTGATAACTGCAATGAGACTTTGTTTTTTAGAATTTATTCACTCTATTGTTGGTCTTTGCTTAGGAGAGTGAAACTGTAGTACACTAAAGAAAAATAACTTTGTCTTTTCTGTAGTGCCTGACAGTGATACCACACAAGAGCTATATTTAGAAAAAATCGATCTAAAAGTGCTGATACCATCATTGTTGGAACATATGTCCTCTCTTGGTGTGTTTTCATAGGGTGACATCTTCATAGCTTCTGCTATCAGGTTTTTTTTGTGACTTTAGGTTATTTGAAAACAATTTGTGAGGAACTCAGTTCTTTAAAGTGGATTCTTCATTTCTTTTTCAGTACTAGTACTTAGCTAAAAGAAAACAACAGTGATAGAAGATAGTGCAGATTTGTTTTAGACTATTTGAAGACTTCTCAARGAAAGACAAATGTCTATTTCTTGTTCAAAAAAATACATATTTATGGGTATGTTCTGATAAGATTGTGGAAAAATCCTTTGTTGTGCTAATGTGTCTGAGCCTCCTGTCAAACGTAGGTTTTAGCATAGGCACAGTCTCATACTTTWAAAAAAAAATCTTTTCTGGTCCAAATGCCCAGCTTGATGCCCACGGGATATTTCAAACTGAAATTACTGAGCAAAGACAAAACAGTATTAAAGAAACTAGCAAACCTCCTAAAGCCAAGATGAGTAAAGTACAGAAGAAAAATCTATCTAAGGATTCATTAGGCTTAGTCATGGAGATGAGTGATACCAGGAGAAGTAAATTTGTATGCTGTCATACTTACTTTCAATCTGGTATTTATGCTAATAACCCTTTTTTATTATGCTAATAGAACTTTGCTATATGATTGATATAATTCCTTTAATGACATCTAAAACTTCCCTCCTCCTTTTGGAGTCTTTCTAAAATATAAGGAAACATTGGAAACCCTGAGTTTCCTTCACCCTGCCCAACCTTACTATTATGTGCATGAATGCATTCAATGAGTAGGGTAGTGCTCAGAAATCAGGTCACTACAGCTGATGCATTAAAAAGACGTAGCTCAGATAGAAATACAGGAAATACAGGAATCTGTAGTACTGTAATATGCAAGGATAGAAATACTCAATAAAGTGCATTGCTTGCTATTCCAGGATTCAGAAGGAGTGGAAATCATGCTAGGAGTCTGTGCAAGTGGACTTTTAATATATCGAGACAGACTCAGAATAAACAGATTTGCGTGGCCAAAGGTTTTGAAAATTTCCTACAAGAGGAACAATTTCTACATCAAAATCCGACCAGGGGAGGTAAGGGCATCCTGATTCTCTTAAGTGAATGAACCTTTTGGAAAACATGAGTYTTTACTGCTTTGTTATTTCTTGTAAGCTTTTAACATTGCTCTCCATCTATATTTTTTTAATTTATGCGATTTTCTTAGGAAAGGTTAGCTATATATTTTCTTTAAAATATAGGTTAAAAATTCTGTGGTATTTTTCTGTGTACATCCATGAATTAACATAAGGAATAAATAGAGCCATTTGCACATAAAAAGCTCATCCGTGTTATGAATACTTTGGGCATTTAAGTAGTGTATTGCTTATTCATGGAGAGCTTGTTACCCTCCATCATATTGTGTATTAAATTGACATTTATCTCACCCACTAAGAAATGTGGACAGGCCATACCAAACTTTATAWACATATCAGGCCAATGTATTTACAGCACTTTGGTAGCTGCCCACATTAGCCTCCCCAGCCCCACAGGAGCTGCTGTCCTGGCTCTGAGAAGGGGATGTGAAACCCTGGACAGTGAGTGCCCTCTCGTGGCTCAGCCGGATGCAGAGCGAACACCGACCTCGCGGGCTGAGATCATGGATATCATGGAATGGTCGGGGTTGGAAGGGACCTTAATGATCACCTGGTTCCAACCCCCTTGCCATGAGCAGAAACACTGTCCCCTAGATTGGGTTGATCAAAGCTCCATCCAGCCTGGTCTGTAAGATGATAACTCTTAAGAGAAACTTGAAGAGGAATTCAGAATCATCACAGGCAAAGGAGGATTTCCATTTTAAATTACTGTACAATAACTGGTCTGTGACAGATGAAAACCCCATATCCATTTAGAGTGTGGAGCTGTATAGCAGACAGAAATAATCTAAAACAAGACTGGCATTTCTCCTTTAATGCAGCCAATGTTTTTGGGACTGATTCCATAATTGACCTTGCAAATCTGCTGGGACCTCAAACACCCTAAGCCTGAGCCTTCATTAGGGTCCTAACCCAAAATCCACAAACTTGCATCTACTGCCTCTCAGCGGCAGTTTTGGTAACCAAATTGCCAGTCCTGAGTTTGATTTTTAAAAACCAAATAATCACTGGCATTCCCAATGCCTGCACTCAAGCTCTTCACCACTGATGCCCTGTTGAGCTCTKCTGGTCTTGGCACACAGTATCCTGTGACCAGGTCATAGCTCCATATGTGAAATAATGAATGCTGTCTCTTTCCAAATTACATTTGATGATAATGTGATTCACTRTCCCACGTCATCTTCATTATTTTGCTGTTTCCTGCCTTGTTTCTCTRTCAGCTTCCGCAGGGATACAGACTTCCTTACAAGTGCCCTTCTGCCTACCTTTCCCCCATCACAGCAACTCTTATTTTATCTGCTCAGCTATCTGCATGTAGCCCTCAACATGTTACAGTAGATGTAGCTGGCACAGCTTCTTCATCTGAAATATGTAAATTTGCAGCACAATCTAAAAAGGTCTCTTTGTATCTCCAGACAACTCTTTGCAATTACCTGTCTTGCTTCATCCTCCCCAGATGAACTAGCTCTAACCACTGTGATTTACTGAAGGTAGTACTTTCTCTGCAAATCTCCTTAATCTAAGGCTGTGGGAGACCAGGTCAGTCCCTGAGGWCTATTGCTCACCTCCAGGCYTCCCACTGTAGTTTAAACTGGTGAAATTAAATCAGCAGGGTTAAAACACTTAAATGTTTTCTCAGAAGTCTCCCAAGTCTTAACTGATCTCTTTGTTACTACAAGGTATAAAACATCACTGGCACCATAAGAAACCTCTTGTTCATTACTGGTGTTTTCCCCCAGAAATGATCCTCAAAGGCTGCCATAGATTATCATTYACAGCTTCTTTCCCAGAAYTCTTCYTGTAGACTATCTATRTATGTTGTTATATACATGAGCATAYAAGTCTGCCCTTGCAATGAGATGATACAGACAGAGGAAATGAAGATGAACCTGTGTACACTGTCTAAAAATAGATGCACAGCATCAAAAATGTACTTATTCTTTTTTCCCTACCTAGTTTGAGCAGTTTGAAAGCACTATTGGGTTTAAGTTGCCAAATCATCGTGCTGCAAAGCGCTTATGGAAAGTGTGTGTTGAACACCATACATTTTTCAGGTATGTGGATTTCTTTTCCTAAARGTGTGATATAAAATGCAACAGAAAAGATCAATTCTTTCAGCAGAGACAAAACCATTCAAATCARATTGTCTTTTTGATCATGAAGTACCTCTGGGCAGATAAAGGAAGGTTATTGCTTCTTCAAAATTTGAGGTGTTGYGTCCAAATTATTCATACTATTTCAGATAGATACTGCTTAAAATCACCATATGGTCCTAATTAATCATTTTGCTTTATCTGTGCCATGATATTATCAGCCACTGTAATTAAGGAGATGAAGGACTGCTGCACTACTGCATATAAGCTTGCATAGGGAGAACAACTTATATGGATGATTGCRGGGGGATGTGGGTAAGAGTTTAAAATAAAAAAGGATATTTTTATTTAATTACATATGAAAATACAGACAGGAGTAGGTGGCATATTTTTGGTCACCCAGAATACCCAACCCATAGCTGTAATTTTTGTATCACTGAGGAGTTTTGCAGCTATTTTTCTGATTTCTAAGAAAAACCAAGAAAGGTTTGGGATACTGGAATAAATGCTGTAATTAGTTTGTGCTAAGAGATACTTAATAAGGGAAACCCAAAGGGGTGAGATTTTCAACAATTTGGAAGGATGTCCAGTGCTTAAGAACCGCATCTGGGGGATGTTTGGGAGCACTGAAGTTCCCTCCTTAAAACTGTTGGTTTGGGCTGTCTGTATGTTCATGTGAAATGCATTCTTAGCAGCAAAAGATCTAAAGAGAAATGGAGTGTGCATTTTTTGGAACTTTTCTGATTTTTAATGAAAAATCAATGTGTRGAGCACAGACTCCATAGCAGGAGAATGGATTCTTTAGCCAGTTCCCATGGTCAAAACACACAGGGTGGSAGAGCTCTAACCTGAAAAATGTCTACACCCCTGTGAATGAATATTGCCTGGCATTCACTGGAAATCAGTTCTGGCCCAGTCCTCAGCATAACATCACCATGGTAAATTTGAAATATGAGAGATACATCTGCATTTCAGCCCAGCTCTGACAGATGCAAGGAACACCTTCAGAAATTCAGATATCCAAATGCTTTAGCTAAGTGGTTTTGTCATGTGTGAGGGACATCCTTTGATTCCCTTTTAGCCACAGAGCGGTGAGGCCCAGGTTACGATGGAAAATGATACCCAGCAATCATCTTCTCTCCTCTGCAGAAACAGTGGACTAGTTTGGGAGGAAGGGAAATAACAAGTGCACTGCTTGGTGTGTTTTAGGCTCCTGCTGCCAGAAGCACCTCCAAAGAAGTTCCTCACGCTGGGCTCCAAGTTCCGCTACAGTGGCCGGACGCAGGCGCAGACGAGAAGAGCCAGCGCCCTCATAGACCGCCCTGCGCCTTACTTTGAGCGCTCCTCCAGTAAACGCTACACCATGTCTCGCAGCTTGGATGGGGGTAAGGTCCTCTCAGCTGGCTTTGTCACAAAGCTGTCATCACAGTGGTCACTGCTTTAGGTTAGGTACAAACCTGGGCATCTCATCTCCTTGGGATTCGGCTGGGTGCAGGCTGTGAGTACTGCACGTTCACGGCAGGGGTAGAGGAGGATGCAGAGGAATTCCCTGATAAATGTTCTGCTGTGGTCCTTGCAAAATGTTTGCCTGGGAGAGGTCCTTGGGACCCCCTTCTTCAGAGACTCTGCCCTTGGCCTTGTAKCTGCATCCCTGCTTTGGGGAAGGATGGGACGATGGAACCTGCCTGCCCAAGAAAGTCAGGCTTCAACACTTTCAGGGTTTGCATGGGTGACTGTTTGGGTTTGGTTGGAGATGGTTTGGTTTTTTCTGTGTAGCTTTTTCACTTAAGTTTGTTACAATCCAGAAGTTAATTATTTCCCTTGAGCAATGACACTTGATTCCAATTACCTCTCATCCTGGTCTGATGAGCACTAAGAGACKTTTTTCATACATTACTTTTGAAGGTATAAAATAGAGAGTAACATACATAGGTTAATAGTACATCCTTTCTTTYCTTATCCTTGGTTCATGGAGATCATGGGTCTGCTGCTGGCTTAAGTCAGTGTGTAATTCAGGGTATCAGCTACTTCCATCAGCTGTTACTGTTGTTGGCTGTTGAATAAAAAGAGGTCGTGGTTTTTTAGTTTATTTTTGTAGAAAAAAAAAGACTGGGACTAAATTTAGAATTGTTACAGATTGAAAAAAAGGTGAATTCTCCTGCAGAATATTGCAAATTGCAATGAGTATAGTTGGTGGTGGGGAMGGAGAGAAGCTTTGATTTTAAACTACAAGTGACAAGCCTTTTTCTCTCCCCCTAAAGGTGCTGCTTGTCATTAATTATTTTGGAATCTTCTAATTCTGATGTGCTTCTTGCTCGTTACCAAGCAACTGGTGACCTGATTGCTGTGCATGTTTCAAAGCAGAAATTATCCTTCTGCATTATTTTGTTTGCAGCATCTAAACAARATGTCTCCCTCTACTCCCTTTGCATTCTCCTGCCTCCTAAGCTTAATCCCAAGAGACAAGATACCTGAAATGCTTTACCCAGCATTTYTTAGACTCTGCAAGGTTTTTATGGTGTTAATTTGCCTCAGTGCAAATGGGGGAAAGAGGTTTTTTTAACCAATGCTTATGCTCTTTTCACTAGTGTTACTATAATGCAGATGTGTCCATAACAATCTGCATTGTGCTTACATTGTGACCCAGCTCTGTCATTTGTTACAGATGCAAATGAGTTTATAAATTTGAATAATCCTATTGGTTTAGTCAAGAGCAGGGTCTGGRCATCTGTTAAGTTTTGATTACATTYGATCTGTAAAGGTACTATTTMTTGAAAAATAACTTTCAAATATTTAAATTTGATGAATTATTGAGCACTTGCATCCTAAAATATTCTGGTTGGGTCCACTGAGCTGAATGTCATCATTTTGCAGAATTTTTTAGGATAATGAGCTCACCTAACTGGCAGACTTTAGTACTCAATAATTCAAGGATCACATTTTTTTTCTTCCTCAGGTATTATGCCTGTGTTACATCAATATTGTCATTTTCTGTAATGCAGCACGTTACTAACTCTGCATTTGATCTGCATTGTTATATTCTGACAGATTTWAAAAAAAAAATCTCTTCCACCCCCATGGCTGATGTCATAGCTGTTCTCCTTATGTTTCCTGCCTGATAACTCTGGCAACACGTTGCTATTTTTTTGGTCTGGTGTTTTACTACAGTAGTAATTTTMATGTCTTGCTAACATTTAACAACCGTGTAATGCACACATTAGCTACAGTAATGTGTGTATGCACATCCATGATATTTGTGTATGCATATAAAAGCTTTATTTCAAGTAAACAGTTTATTTCAATGTAAGCACATGCTTCAGRTTTCCTGAAACATGGCATAGTTTGGTTTTTTTCAGCATTATCTCAAATGTTTTTTTCTTAAACCAGCTTTTTTAATTTTATGCAGCTTCTCGGCAAAAGCTATTTCAGATTTTCCCTCTTTAAATATTTGCTTTTAGCGTCAGTGAATGAAAACCATGAAATGTACATGAAGGATTCTGTGTCTGCTGCAGAGGTTGGTACTGGCCAGTACGCCACAACAAAGGGCATCTCTCAGACCAACTTGATAACCACTGTGACTCCAGAGAAAAAGACAGAAGAGGAGAAAGATGATGAAGAGGGCAAAAAGAAGAGAGCAGAGGAAGTCACTCCGATTTCAGCAATACGCCATGACACCAAGGTAGAATTTTCAGGGTTTTGTATTAAACAGAGAYGCCTGGAGAGTGCTTGGAAAAACAGAAATTTTAGGGAGGGAGGAGAAGGAGGAAATAAAACTAGTTTTGTGAAAGGAAGTATACTATGTGTATATATGTGTCTTGAATCAGTGTTTTTGTAGTCCTTTCAGTTTTCATATGATGTCGTAAAAGTTAGTTCCTGGCTTGGACTATTCTTTGRAATCCGTTTAACAGTCAGCATGGTGTTTTTCACACAGCATTCAACAGCTCTTTAGGAAATGCCCAGAAGTAGCCTGGTGGTGCATGTTTCTTTCCTCTGTTTTTTTGGTCGTATTTTGACATTAGTATGGCCATCCTGTTTTGKTTTTTTTTTAACTTTAACAAGGCAACAGAATAGTTCTGTATTCTTGTATGTAGTTCTGTGCTTTAAACAATTGTATTTTTCTCTTATACTTCTCATAACACTCTGTTTCCTTGCATGAATTTTGATGGGCATTTTTTTCTCTATTATCTTCTGGATATTAATCTGCTGTTATAAGCATTTTTTTTCTGGCTTACAAAAGCATTTGCTTCACTTGTTTGAMGTTTGAGTTGAAGAAAACAGTTTTTATTGATGGTTCTCTTCTCAGTTTTTAAATTTGAGCCATCCTTCATCRTCTTCAATCCCACCACTGCTACACACTCACACACACACACGCATGGTTGTGCATAGTATCTACTGAGATATTAATACAGGGTAAACCAAACAGGAGGACAGAGAAAATAGTGAATAGAGATTGACAGTGAAGAGAAATATGGTAAAATAACATTCAAAAAGCTTCCTGTGGAATGCACTTGCMAAACAAGTAAGGTTTACCCTCATCTCTTAGGAAGAAAAACCTTGATGTATACCTTTACATCCACAGAACTGTCAAGTATACAGATRTTAGAACATGAACTTCTAGTTTTATCATATAAGGCCACAATGAGCTGCATAGCTAGAGGATTAACTCCTCAAAAAGAGTTGCAGTTCAGGAACTGAAAACCAGAAACAAATTGAGTTACTGAAAATTGCAAACGAGAAAAGTTTGGGGTTTTTTTGAAAGTGTGCGCTGTAATTGTAGCATTTAAAAGATGATCTCTACAAAATTTAACTGGGGTCTTCTTGGAACTCCATTAGTTTCTGCATGGAGAMAGAATGATGAGAATCAAATATGTAGAAAATGTCCAATAGAAGCTCATTCTGTTCCAAGTGTTTGTTAATCTGGGTCAATGGAGGGATCAGCTGCATTTTGAAGATCATCTAGCTATTCTTTATATATAACAAGAAACATTCAAAGGTATTTTCAGAGGCTATTTTGATGGAACTTAAATATGCACAAAATACTGATCTTTTTACCCTCACTAAAGAGATCAGTTCTGTTTAAACCAGTCATAACAGAGCTTCAGTGCTGTAAGCCTATAGAAATCTCAGTCCTGTTTCCTCATGGACYTGCTAACGGATTTGTCTTTCATCATAAAGACAATAGGGTCTCAAGAAACACAAGACAAGCTTTTAAGGGTATATAAATGTTTTAGGTATGTTTTAAGCTTTTCCATTAAGTCATTTTGCTTTTGTTTTATCCATGTGTATTTAAGTATCAGAAATTATTCTAAATATTAACACTGTAAAGATGTCAGTAAGTKAATAGTCTGTATTAGAAAAGAATACATTTACTTTAGATTTTTTATCTTTACAATATAAAGAGAAGTTGTGTGTATTTAGCTCACATAAAAACCTGTGAGTCCATCAACATTAAATTTTGACTTGAGCTTACTGCACTAAAACCATGAAGACATTTGTGAGCAGTTTGAAGCTAGGCTTGGTTTTGTTGGCCTAATTTGGGAATACAGATTCCTTGCACTGATAGATTGCTAGAGAAGAGACAAAGGGAAATACTAAGAGGAAGGAAAGCRGTTCTCCCATGTAATTACTTGGCTTGCATCCCATACTTAATATACCTAGTAAARTTCAAGCTTAGTAGCAACCTGTGTCTAAAACTTGGATCTGCTTTTTGCCTCCAATTCAACACCAGCTTGAACAGGCAAATGCTGTTTTGGCTTTGGAGTCATTTTGTTTTTGGGAGCCAGGAGTGGCAGTGGATGTGAAATGGTTACTGCAGTTCCCTGGGGAGATGCACTATGGATGGAGCAGCTCAGGCACTTAGGGTTTGGTCATGGAGCCAGTGGGCCACTTCAGCTGAGTGCACTTGGTGGACTTTGGCCAAAACATCTCTGATCTATCAGCATTGTGGAAGATGTGTTGTRCTGGGGTATGCATTTTGGTGATGACAGTGGCTTTTGTCCTTCTGAAGAGCAGTGGTGGCTGCTTGCAAGGAGCGTGTGAAATGACAGWCACCATTCCTGCTGAATCATCTCCCTCCTCCTACCAATTTTTTTGTCCTCAAATGACCTGGAAGGCCAGTCGAATGTGTATGCAAGTGGCATATCAAAGCAAATCCTGCTTGCTGGTAGCAAGTATTCTTTTCATTGTGGTAAAACTTGTAGCAAAAGCATTGGGGCATTTTTGCCTCTTCTTTATGGATAAAGGGYCACATTTTGGTTATGAGGAGCTGTGGTTGTGTGGTTCATGGTCCTCTCTCTGGCCAGACCCCCTTCAGATCCCCAGTGAGAGATRATGGGATCTGCTGAGCCTCAAGTCCCGTTTCCTTTCCTACAGTGTATGGCCAAAGATGTGGCAGCGTGGAGGGGCTGTCACGGGGTGAGCCCCAGCACTGCCTGCTCGGGCTCAGGACGGGCAGAGGAGAGGGCAGGGCTGTGGGGATGCCCAGCATGGGAGCCCTGCTGAGGAGCTGGCTGCTGGGGTGGCTGTCAAGCTGGTTTTTTTCATCAGTAGCAGCTGATGAATGGATTTATGGTTTGCCCCCCACCAAACCAGAATGGGTTTTAGTTAAGTTTAGGGCCTTTTAGTTAAGTTTATTTTTTTTTTTTTACATTGCAATGGAGGAATTTAAAGTCCTTGGAGTTTTAATTATTACTGCTTAGGTTGTTCAAGGCATAGATGTGAAGCATCTAGCCCTCACTGGGTCTCCTCCTGACTGCAAGAATGCTCTCACAAGCAGTGCTGGTATTAGAAATCTGTTCCCTTCTTTCTTTGTTGCTCTCCATGYACTTCATGTTTGAAAACTCTTTATGATGGGAAGGCAATCTTTCAGTTAGTGGAATTTGGCAGAACCTGATGCTCCCCATGTGGCCATGGAGCTTTTATGTAAATCCTGTGCTGCAGAGGACTAGGCAAATGTTGACTCAAGAAGTTGYCTTTTGTAAGCTGGAAGCGTGATTCACTAATACCTGTGGTGTGCGGCATGGGAACATGCACCATTTAATTCAGTGGAAAGCTGTGGTGTTAAATACTGTTTATAATTTTATATATATAATATATATTATTTATCATCACGGAAGAAAATTAACTAATTACAGTTTTCTTTTTGTCCTTTTGCTTTTGCGCCTTGTTTGCTGCTCTTTCTCTGTCACCAGCCATCTTTGCTTGGCACTGACTCCCACCACTCCTCGCCATCCTCTCAGCCTGGCCCCCATGTATCTTCAGCAAAGCTTCGCAGGAGATGCAAGGAGAGCACTCGGACAAAGTCCTTAGGCTGTGAGGCCCCCAAAGAGAGCGCTCCAAAACGCAGCGAGTCGGAGCCAGACTCTGACAGAAAGGGGCGAGTTTGCTCCGCCGAGCAAGACGTGGCTTTTGGCTACAAGCAAAAAGCTGGCAAAGGCGGAACTCTGTTTTCCTTCTCCTTGCAACTTCCAGAGTCATTTCCTTCCCTCCTGGATGACGATGGCTACCTGTCGCTCCCTAACCTTTCCGAAACCAATCTCCTGCCTGCCAGTGTGCAGCACTACCTCCCCATCCGCTCCCCCTCCCTCGTGCCTTGCTTCCTCTTCATTTTTTTCTTTCTGCTCTCTGCCTCTTTCTCAGTGCCATACGCCCTCACTCTCTCCTTTCCTCTGGCTATGTGCCTCTGCTACCTGGAGCCCAAGGCGGCCTCCTTGAGTGCCTCACTTGCCAATGACCTGAGTGACAGTTCAGAGGAAGAGGTGTGTACCTCGGCATCGAACACACTCTTTTTCGTGTTCAGTGCTTCAGTCCTAACCAGTGTTAGATTGCTGCAATAGTGGTCCTACTTTCAGAGCCTCATTTCTGTCTGTGCTGATATGTTAGAAGGGTTTTTTTTTTTTTATGTTTGGGGGTTGTTGTGTATTTTTTTTCCTCTTCTTTTTTTTTTTATTTTTTTCTCATGCTGGGAGTACAGCTTGGAACCCAGGGTTAGGCACAACACTGTGGAAGTGGCTTGGCTTGAACTGTGTYAGCAGGTGCAAAGTGACTTGCAATAAATAATAAGACCTTTTACTTCCCTCTATCAGTTTATACTAGGGTTAGAATAGTTATCTAAATAGTGGGTGTTAAGTACAATTTTCCACATAATTACTGAAGCATGCAAATATATGCATATGTATCTACATTTATTTATATAACTAGGTACCCAACAATAAAGAGCACGTTCACCAGCATCAGTATGTTCGAAGTCCAGATGGACTCAGCTTTTTGCAAAAGGCTATCAGCTGTAACTGAATCCCAGAAAAGGYTTTCTGGTCCAGCAAAACCTGGATCTTGATTTTCAGCCTTGATCCCATCTCTGCTGCAGATTAAATTGTTTTGCCATGGTTAAATCCAGTGCATCAGTGAGGGGTCAGATTGGGACAGCTGTTGTGCAGCTGTTGCGGGAGCATGCCATGTGGGCTGCCTTGACATTTGCAGCGTTAGATTAGCGCAGCCAAAACTGATGCCTCAAGCCACCGGGGTCATCAYGGGCAGATGAAGCAGCTGCGAGAGGAGGCTGCAGTGGCTCTGGGTATTGTGGATGTGATGGTGTGTMCAGAAGTAGGAAAGGGATCTGCTCAAGTAACGGAGTAACTGGCATCTCAGTTTTTGCTGGAGCCTGATTACTCTTCGTTGACAGAATAAAAGAACAATTTCAGGTTTTCCTTGATTTTCTATTTTCCTCTTCAATTTCCAGTACAAAAGTATGGTTTTGCTTTGTATGTAAAGAAAAAACCCAGATCATAGACCAGTTGGCCATGTAAAAAGCCACCTTTGCCACTTGTCGATACCTTTGCAGTAGCTCTCTTCAATAAACCAGCTAGCACATCCAAACATTTGTGTCATCTGCTGCTGTTGGTTTTGTAAGACTTGGGGCAGGATTTAATTTCCTTTTTATGGAAAGCCAAAAGTCACATCAATTTGTCTTGTAAAAACATTGTCTTTRGATGCTTTTGGCTCTGTTATGCCTAGCAACTAAAAAAATAACATGCAATTTCTGATAAAAGGCATCCAAAATGCTGCTGTCTTATTTCTTGTCCTCATTTTGAGACAGCATTTAGGTCTCAATTTGCATTAGCTCTGCACTTGGATTAATCTAATAGCAGTAACAGCATTAATATAGTGCCAGCTCCAGAGGCAATAATGAGGCAGTGTTTATGTAATACATTRGTCTGTTCCTCTTTCAGAAATGAGCACTTCTTTTTGTTAGTAAAGTGAGAAAGTATTGAGCATAAAAACATCTAAAATAGGCTTTTTAGTATCACTCTTTTATGAGRGTGATTACTCTGGCAGTGCTTCCTGGCAGAAAACACAGACTTGTGCCTAATCCAYGGGGTATTTCTTGTTCAAAATATTGCATGAAAGTGAATATGTTTTAAACTCGGGYATGTCTGCATTACATTGGCAAAACAAATCACAGCAGTTACGATCACAAGTTAGGGGAGGTGCAGCACGTCAGGAGAAGCTGCCTTTTGTCCTGCTCCAGCCTTTGCCTGCCCGCCCCACCCCAGCTGTACCACAGCCCATCTCAGAGCTGAGCCTGGCCTTTCTTCCTCTCCACTCCACAGGAGAACCTGCCTTGCTCAGCCTTAATTCACYGTTCCCTGCTCTGTGATAACCCCAGATCTTTATTTCAAGTAAYTCAGTAATGCTGACTTTGACTCCATGACTGTTGATTGGCTTATTAGCAGACATTTATGTTTCGATAAAGGAAGTTTTATGCTTTATTTAGGATTTAATGCTACTTACGGCAAAAGAAATAGGAACCTCTTTTCTCTCCCTAGTTCAGAAAAGATTGCACACAAAGATGCAGAAGACTACAGCCAGAATCCTGAACCAATGTCATACGTTGCTGAGCTTTTTCTCCCTTGAGCTATCCATCTGGAGTCAGTCCATGCAGTCAGACAGAATCTTACTCCTTAGAATTCACTGGCTTCTGTGTTTGTACCTTAGCAGCTAATTTTCTACTGACTTCAATTTCTTAAYTGAACCCTATGTGCCAGACTTGTGTTACAGTGCCTTGACACAAGTTTTTAATTCTTTTTAAATGCCTAGATTCCTTAGTTCCTCTTTGTTGTTTGGGMATTTTTTGTAAATAGGAGTGACAATGCATATGCTTTTTTTTTTCTATTGCCATACCATTAGAGTTGTCTATAGTGTTATAAAGATACAAGATCCTTTGCTAATAAAGAAACAATTTTCTAGCAGTTTAGTGAAAGCAGTTGGCCCAGCCTAATAGACTACTCCGATATTACACTTCCATTTAAAAATAAATGCAGTCTGTCTCATGAGTGGTCATTGCTTGAGAAATTTTGTGTAACTTGCATTCATGYGCTTAGCAAGTAGTGCAAAATGTTTGTTTATTCTTCTGCCTGTCATACAAACAATACAAACTCTTCAAGGAAGGGATGAATAGAAAACAAAGCAATGAAAAAAAAATCAAACCATTGTCTTATGAAGCAATGGAGTGGTCAGAAAAGTACAAAGGATTGGAGGAGACTAAAAGCTAAGACTGATACTCCATCCACCAGTAGGTTGTTTTTTTCTTTTTATCGTACTGATGTGATTGGAGGATGAGATGTGTTGTCCTGGCTTTAAATTGCCTGCCTGGGTTACTTTAGGTTATCYAAGGACCACAGAAAATCACTAATTAAAACCAGTGCTTTCACTGCTATCAAAACAACTTAGATGTGCCATTCTGGGGCAGTAGGGTGCACTTGTTAGTTTTCCATATGCTTGCCTGACGTCAGAGTAGTCTTTTGAACCCTGTTCTCGGCCTAGAGTAACCTCCACTCCATTCTCTATTAATCTTGACACTTGTGTTCTCCKCTAAAATGCTCTTCATGGTGTCAAGCAAAGCAGGGATAGATCAGTCTGTGCAATGCTGTGCTTTGTTTCATTTTTATCACTCATACCTAGTAAGTGTTTTGGGGGGTGGGTAAGTTACTTTTGTTTTTCTTCTGCTTTCATCCACATTCTTAAATGGAATGAGAAGTATTTTTTTCTTCCTTTAATGGCAGTTTTCTTTCTTTTTACTATCATTAACAATTATCAGCTGCTCTTTATTGGAACTGAGTGGGATCTGAGCCTTACCATTACTCCACAGACAGACAGTAGATGGGCTGGGGGAAGGGTTATTTGAACTCCTTGGTAATGCAGACAGCCTCATGGTGTATAAACATGGAGACAAGAACAACTTCTGTACAAATGAGGGGCTGAAAGTCAGATGACTGTTAAAGTAGCTTTTTGTTGTTATTGTTCACTTCTTTTAATTATCGTTTTCCCCTCCGGATAAAAATTTAACCACTCCTTTATATTGTCTAGAACAAAAATTTGTTTAATATTTTTCTGTAAAAAACCATTATGGGAGAAAAAGCTTGTTTTGAAAATATTAGCTGTTTTTTTCCCCGGCCTTTTTTTTTTTTAAGCTACCTGGCTTTCTTAAGGAAAAGAAAAAATCTACTATTCAAATAACACTTTTTCACTAATGTTTTGTTTGGCTTATAAATTTGTTCCAGTAAAGCCATATACTGTGTACAGTATGCCTCGAGTCTTCCTCTGAGTCTGTTCTGTTTACTAATATAGCATTTTTATTTTGCTTCTTTGACATGTGCGTTGTTTGAAAAGCAATGCTAATGCAGTTCACAGGGATGTTGAGTTTAACATCTCCCCGCGTGAGCCGCGTGTACTGATGAGCTGGGTTTATTCTTTATTCCTGCCTTCCTCTCGGGACCCGGGTACTTGTCTAACCCAATAGACTGACAGTGAGCAGACGGATACTGCGGCTGATGGTGAGACCACTGCCACCGAGGTTTGTACAGTCGCCGGCACCCAGCTATGGCAGGGGAGAGCGTTTTTCCTCGTCTCTTCCCGACCCTGGGCCTCGGGGCTAAACCGCATGTCTGCTACGGCAGTTCAGGATCCCTCCCTGCGCGTGTTGTGCATGTGCGTGCCTGCAAGGGGGACAGCTTTGCTAGGAGAATCGAGTTTCCAGTGCTCCCTGTGTGATCCTCTCGTTTCTGAGCTCGGTTTGGAAGCTGCAAGGCGCCTGCGTTGTGCGGTTAGTGGGGCAGTGGCTGTGTCACCCACGCCAGTGCTGCCCACCYGGAGGGTCGTGCTGGCCGGATCGTGCCCTGGGGATTTCTGTTTGCTTGTTTGTTCTTATACTCTGCAGCCTGAGTGGGAGAGTGGGGAAAAACAGTAAAAAGCAGTTTTCAAATTTAGTGAATATTGGTATTCTCGCATTTTAGATATCTAAGGTTTTTCTTTAATGTAATTCCACATGGCATCTTCACGTATTGTCACCACTAGTCCAAGTATTCTTTTCAGAGGAGAAATGTAAAATGTTTATATTTTCCTTGCACTGGGAAGCCTCAGTATCCACAACATGATACACAGCCTGTGCAGGAAAATTCAACCCTATGCGACTTCACTGAAGTGCATATAATGCTTTCATAATTAATATGATTGCAGCTGCAAACATGAGCTGAATTTCGTCTGACATCTGCTAGAAGACAGTCTTACCCTAAACACTACTCTAGGTTTTCAGAAGGATCTCATTAATATTTGAGACTGTTAAAATTATCGTCAAGGAAAAATTTTCTGTGTGACACGTCAGGACAATTCAGCCTGGTCTGTAAATAGAATAAATTTGAACTGAGTTGTAAAGTAATCAACAGATTTTCCCATGAGTAATTTGTCTAATTAGGACTRTATGAAAAATTAACAATAAAATAGCAGCATGGGCATTAAAAGAATTCAAATGGTGCAACAACAGAAAGTCTGTTGAGATGAGTCAGGAGTACAAAATGCTTTAAAGTGCTTCTTTTACTCCATAGCTTCAGGTCTTGATCCCTGCAGAAAGTAAATCATAAAATTGTGACATTTAAAATGTTAGTTTTATTGCTCAAAAAATGCACGTTAATCTCTCTAGTTGCCATCTTTATTTAGAGGAGAAGATATAGCACATCTCAGTTTTCYTTACGGATACCTGATTTTCAAAATGTGTGGTATATTTGCCACGTGAAAGTTGTGCCCTCAGAAACTGGACTGCCAGGGCAGCCCTTTTGGCATTGCTTTTGAAAATGTGCATTGAAGGAGAGAGGATGTGTGTGCCATTCCAGATGATAGGTCCTAAAAGAATATATACAGGCTAAATATGCAAAAAATTACAGAAATAAGAGAAAGGGACAAATAATAGAAAGGGACTAAGGTTAGGGAAATAGCATTTTAAGCAAATAAAACGTGCTTCCTTCTGCAGAAAGTGTTGCAGGTTGTTTGCCCATGGTGAGTTTATGCAAAGCTTTGCTTGCAGCYCAGATGATGTCATATGTGTAAACTTTGGGATTACTGAATTCCAAAGAATTTGCTGTTGCTGTTTGGTCCTAGATTAGCTGCAACCTTGGTGAGAAGGTGCAACTGCTGCTCCATAAATAGAGATCTATGAATGTGGAGCATAGCAATATTTATAAAAAGAAGATAATAGGCCTTTGTTAACAAAAAACAAATTCGAGGAGGTTTTCTCTGTTTAGAAAAACCTTACAAAGCCAGTGTGTCTACTCCTTCTCCTAAAACCCTGAATGCAGAGAAAATGGGACTTTAACCTAGAGTGTACCTCTCACCAATGTTCATAAAGCCTTCATTCGTACGAGTGGGTAAGGTGTTGTTTTCCAATCTTTCTCATGCTGGCAGTCGGATCAAGAGGAGGACGGAGATCTAAAGGCACAGGTACAGAAACGAAAGGTCTAGATGTTGCTCAGGTATCAATGTTGGAGGTGTTCGCCTCTTTCAGCATGTTACTGTCGGTTCTCTGTGAAGAAATGTGTAGAAACAGCATTTTGTATCCTTCAATACTGTGTCCCTTACCTTTCCCTTTCTTTTTCACTTCTTTCAGAATAGTCTGATTAAGCGAATACAGGGTGAAAATGTGTATGTCAAACATAGTAATCTTATGTTAGAGGTTGGTATTGGTATATACCAGTGCATGTACGTACATGTGTGTTAGTTATAGTGGTAAACTGTGGATCTGCACTATGATGCATGAACTGTGTACTCCCACCTGCTAATAGATTATTTTTTCTCTCAGATTATGATGACTCTCCTAACTTGTACTATAAATATCGATATATGCGTGTGCGTATCTGTGTGTGCCTCCACGCGCATATGTATGTCTGTTTGGAGCCTCTTTAGCAGGTGCAAATTCTAGAGATATGGATAAGCTCTTTAAGAGTGTATTTGGAGACTCACTTGTACGAGATATGCTATGCTGTTCTCTTCCAAAATGCCACATTTTCACAGAGTGTTGTGTTGGTGCTGTGCTCCCCGGCTCCCTGAGCTGTTACTTCCCTCTATACTAACCAACTTGTGTGTTTTGGCTCTGAAGTTCGGTTGGCTTAGGATGTATCACAAACTGCTCTATTCTTTTAAAACTGTCCAGGATCTAGACAAAACCCAGGAAGATCTGATGAAACATCAGACCAATATAAGCGAGTTGAAACGCACCTTCTTGGAAACCTCCACAGAAACGACTGTGTCTAATGAGTGGGAGAAGAGGCTTTCCACATCTCCCGTTCGGCTTGCAGCAAGGCAGGAGGATGCTCCTATGATTGAACCACTAGTGCCTGAAGAGGTCAGCGTGAGCTGAAAGGCTTCATTATGTATTTGTCTATTCATTTTTACTTATAGCAGTTCTCACTAGATTAGAGGCTGTAGTTAGAGGCCAATCACTGCTTGCAGGCATTCCCTTTTCTCAGGACTCAGGCTCTAGCAGCAAAGATGGSAGGAAGAGCAGATACCATARATGTATACATATATAAATATRTACATATTTAGAGAATRAAAATTGCTGGAAGCMGYGTGGCAGAACTGGGTCTCTTTGAGGGTRCAAAATACAGGCGTTGTTACAGGTTCGGTGAGCTTGAGGAAGTCCAGTCATGTGTGAAAGAAACCATGAAAGTGATGGAGAGAAAATTTAAACRATGGTGACTGGTTGGGAGCAGTGGTGTAGTGAGACGGGTGGGGGTTATGGTGCCAAACTTGACRAGAAAATACAGAGCAAAGGGCAGAACTCTCTCAGTCTTTGAAGACAGGAGGAAATAATGATGATAATTAGAGCTTCTTGGCCAGTTCCATAAAGGAACTGATGGTTGCTGCAGTCTGCTGGATATCATTTCATTCAAGACCCAAYGCAGATTGCTGAGTGTCTGTGTTTTCATGCAGTGTGCATGTRTGAAAAAATCTTGCTCACTGTGCAGTCTTGAAGTGCCTGTGAGAAACTTGCCAATTTCAAAGCTGGTGTTTACTTGATCTGTAGATAGATAAGGACATGTAGGGCTAGCAAGGCAACATTTGTGTTGCAGTAAAATACATAGTGCAGTGTCTTGGCTCAAGTCCAGCAGAACAAAAAGAAATAAGCTTGTGTGGTCTGCCTGAAAGTTAATATTTTTATTCTATTATGAATGGATATCTGGTTTCTGTCTCACGGGAATTATCTTTATGGGTACCTCTTGCTTTTAGCATTAAAGACCAATAAATGGTCATGAAATTTGTTTCTGTGCCCGCAGCACTGATGTGATGTTGTAAGGAGCACAGTGTCTGGATAGTGTAAGTTGAAAGAGTGTTCTGCTTTCCCACCTCAGAGGTGKGAATAACCCACAACTTTGGGGAAGGGACCCCTGGAGGCATGCAGGGAGCAAGTGTCAGCTTCTCCTCATAGGGAAAGGGATATTGCTGAGGAAAAGGCCCTCACACCTCCTCCTCTCCCACATTATASCCAGTGGCTGATGTGGGCACCAGACATGCGTTAGTGTGGATTAAAATACCTAAAAAAGCAATCTCAGTGCTCAAAGCTTCCTGTTTGAGGGGACACAGAGGAGTTTTAGTGTTGCTCCTGCTTCCTTGTTCAGGAATCAGAACAGACCCTAAAAACAGGTTAGTTTGGTTGTAGTTGAAAATAGAGCTTTATCCTTCAAAAAAGTGAAATTGTAAGTACCATGAACAGGATACATTTACCATAATAAAGATGTAAGGAACTGCTGGAAAGGGTGCCTAGCTGAGCCCGACTCAGAGGATTGCAGGGGAAGCAAACTTAGTGCCACCCTGTTTGTTTAAWATCTTGATTACTTTAGGAATTTAATAAAACCTTTTAATTAAAACACACAAGCAGTAGCAAAATATTACACAGTATGCTTTACCCTGAGGAAACACATATGAATTTAACCATTCATTTGGAAAAGAAAAGAGCAAGAATTATCCTTATTTGGTATCTCTTCTCTTGCTAGTAGAAGGTGATTTGCATAAAAGCAATGTCCCGTTACTGTATCTTACATGCATCTAATCTATATATGTTTCACAGAACCTCATCCAAATGAAGGTATTTCTGTGGAAAATTGAGAGCAGACTTGAGTTGTCAGAGCCTAACTCTGAGGTCACTTCTGCTGTAGACAGCACCTGGCAATCCTTTTGGTCCCAATAAGTGGGATGGTTTCAGTTTGCATGTCCTGATGAGAGGGGCATTTTTCAGGAAAAAGCTGAAGACATCCATAGATGACAATCAGCACCTTGATGTCCACTAAGAAATGCAGAGGCAGTTAGGACAGTGCAATGCCTTCTGCTAGTCAAACAAGTTACACATTTCATTTGGCATATCCCTTTAAAATGTATTCACTACTGTTWCCTGTAGGTCCTTCATATAATAAAACAAAAATATAAGAGAAAACATGCCCTTTCCAAATGTGATCTTCGAGCATTTGACACTTGAATGTGTTTGGTCAGTGTGACTTTAAACMTGCCTAGTCACCACTTGGTTTCATAAAAAAGATGGGGAAATACTTTGGTTTTCCTTAGTGATGAAAAATATTTTTTTAAACATCTTCCATGATGGTGGACAGAACTGCAGAACATGAAAGCCATCATACTGACAAACTCCTTGTTTAATCTGACCTGGATTGGATCAAACCAACACTTTAGGAATAAAGGAATCACGCATCTCATCGCAGTCAGGGAGTCGAGCCACTTATCCCTTTCTCTGTCTTTCTTTAAATTTCTACTTTTCCTCTTTGGTCGTGCCAGTCAGACTTCCATTGACATGTCTACTGAGTACAGCAGCCACTGAAGTCACTAGAAAGGGTTTGGCAAGAAACCCATTTTGCTCTGCAGGGGCTTACTTTCTCTGCCCAAATGACAACAGTGCCAAGCCCAGAAGGTGGGCTGAAAAGACTTGGGAAATTGAGTCTTACCAACATTTAAAAATTTCCCTGTTGTCCAAGTTAGAGAGATACTCTACTATTCTCACAGCACTGGGAAAGCATTGATGGGATAAAAGTGAGGAGATTTCAGTGTCAGACTACMGGATAATAGAGCAACAGTTAGCTTCCTGTGTAGGAAAAGTGCTTTTAAGACTTCTAATACTAAGAGCAAACACAGGGAGAGCTGAAACCTTTGCTGGGCACTCCTGCCTGCTTCAGCAGAGAGGGCTGCAAACTCAGGAGAGRGCCTTGTCCAGAGTGAAGGTGGAGGGGCCTGTTCTGGGCTGTTGGTGGAAGCTGTGTCAGTTGGCATCAGTCACAGTTAAATGAATAATATGAAATGAAACAAATGCAGTGCATCCACTSCGGGGTGTTATTCAATTTAGTGGGTTTTGTGCATAGCATTGTATACCCGTGTCTGCTTTGCATTCACCATAGAGAGACTGATAYCACTTCTTACTGGAAACCTCTGTGCTGTAAATGGTTCTCTATAGTTCTGTTTCCTTATTTTCCATGCAGTTAATAATTTGTAGAGTAGAGAAATATGAAGAGTTACTGTACAGTAGACTTTATACCCTCCATTTACTAAAATCATTTATTCCCCTGACATTAGACCAAAGAAGAAACAGAAAAATCAGAAAAACTCATATTTTTGCAGAAGGGAGGTACYACATTCCTTGAAATGCAGGTAAAAACAAACAATACTTCATTGAAATGCAGCCAGAAAGGATGGCAATGATTTATTATTTTATTATCTTTTTTCCTTTCCAAGCCCTCCCTTTTTATATTTTTTTTAAATTATTATTATTATTTCATAAGTTTCAGACAGAGATATAATCTGGGGACCAAATTCTGAGGAATGGGTCCTTTTCAGAGCTTATGGCTTCCTAATGGASACTGATTTCTCTGCTAGTTAGAAATCTACTTGCACGGTGCTGTTTGGATGTTGTTTGCAGTTTGCATGCATTTCCAGCATAAACTTCACTGAGAACGTTACGGTGAATGGGGCACTTCTGTCACGAGAATGAATTTCCTTTATATTGTCAAGTGAATTTAGATTATGCTGAGTGATGGTGAACTTTATATTTTTATTGGTTTTTCTATTAGCCAAGTGTGATAGAGAAGAAGCTGCAGGAAGGAGAATCTGCTGGCACTTTGGTTACTTCTCATCAAATCATTATCCAGAAAAGTATCCCATCATCCCTAGAGGTTATTTTTTAATTCATTCGATTTTAAACTACTTCATTTGCTTAGTTAAATACAGAAGTTATGGTCTTAAAGTCAAATAACTGGATGCTGATTGCATAGTCAAAGCAAATCACATAGCRCATTTGCATGAGGAGGAAAAAAAGATGCTGCCATTAAGTTCAATTCAGAATTTTTAGTAGTATGCTTAGTTTATACAGTTTGCTGTGTTTTGCTTCTCCATTTAAACAACCTGAAGGGGGTTGATGTAGTTCTAACGAAAACAAGGAAACTCAATGCAGGCTACGGCCGCATACAAACACTATTTTAAAACATCATTAACAGCATGTTTGTAACAACTGGGATACAGTTGAATGGGCTTATTTGCCCTATTTCTGTAATTTGGTTTTGCCTGTAGTTTTGTGAACCGCTGCAATATGTGATTTTTAACCCCAGGCTGATTCTAATCATCATTTTAAATTATTCTCTGACATGCTATTTTGCTTAAAAAATATAAAAATAGTGTGGCAAAAGTAATTTTTTTGGGTCCATGTTATATAGACCTCTGAAGAAAGAGGCTATGCAAAGAAATCATATTTTGCCTGAGGTGATTCTGTTTAGTTGCTTGATAACTTCTCTAAGAGGTACAACGCTAAAAGTTATTATATGCTTTTGGAAGCAGCAGCATGATTTCTTAAAAGCCTTCATTCTCTAGCGCTCCTGAAGCACAGATAAACCTTCAGATATTCTAATTTAGCTTTTATATCTCAATATAGGGCACTGAGGATTGGGTTATTATAGACAAAATACCCTCTGAGGTAGTTGATGGTGAATCGGAAAAAAATCTGGCATACAAAGTGGTGACTGTGAGCAGTAAAACTGCCTTTCCACCTGAGATATTAAAATCCAGTACCATTCTAATGCAGAGCTTTGAGGACTTGGAAAGTGAAATACAATCCAATGAGGAGAATAAGCAGAAAATGTTCACCCTAGGAAAGTCCTATGATACCATATCTGGGAAAATTGTAACCATGACAAGTAAAGCTAAAGAGGGCGAGAAAGCAGTACAGCCTTCAGTAGAAACGTTGCAAAAAGTGGAAAGGGAAGTGCAAGAATTTGTGAAAACCGTTCCAATAGTGGCCAAGTAYGAAATCCTCAAGCCTGTCACTGATGAGAAAGCCAGGCGGGGATCCGACGTGCAGAGCACAAAAAGAAAGCTGTCTGACTCTCTGGCACCCATAAAGGAAGCAGAATCTCGGTTGCAAAGCCCTGAAGAGGAGAGTTTGAAAAAGACSCTAAGGATGGACCAGGATTTGCAGTTACTTGGTACCCTGGAAAGCTTACAGCTTGGCAAAGCAGAAAARCGTCCTGGCGGTGAAGCTGTAAGAACAGGGGCGTTTGCCCGGACAGATAAGAGCCTGTCTGAGTGGAGATATTCCAGAGAACAGCCATTTACCATTGCTACTGCTCACTATGTTACTGAGTCGTCTGCATCAAAAGTAGTGGTAACAAGTGGCTTTGACTTCATGCCACGGTTTAAAGATAAAAGCATGCCTTCTTTTAGGCAATCCCCTCACACCACCCTACTTTTCAGTTCTCTTGCTGCCTGGCTTTATTTTGACAGCAGCCAACCCAGCTTATTTTTTTTCTCCCATACTTTGAATCCGTCTCACAGTCTGAAGCAGACATTATATAAGGCTTTCAACCTTTCCGGTTTKTGTACTGAAATTTAGTATTGCTGCTGTGGCTTCTTAATAAAAGGAAAAAAAAAAAAAAAGGTTTGCTCGAACCAGCAAAATGCCAATGCTAACAACTACGCTTTGTAACTATTGCTTACTACAGCCATTATGAATCTGCTCTGATTTATTTTCTCATTCTTTTCCTGTTTCCAACCTCGCCGTGCCCCTGCAACCTTCTCTCCTTTTCCTCCGTCTCYGCCTCTGGTTTTGGCAATTAACATGTCTGTGTGTATGGGTCTGCCTTTCCTCTGTGTATGACTCTACATTTCTTTGTCTGTTTAGACTAAACAGTCCACCGGTGAAAAAACCTTGGATGGTTCAGATATCTTCACTTTAATAGAGTCCGCCAGAAAACCGACTGAGTTCATAGGAGGGGTTACTTCTACTTCCCATAGCTGGGCTCAGGTGGCTGCTTGATTCCCTCCATCGATGTCATAACCACACACCAATTACTTTTCCTTTTCTATTGTTTTGTGGTTTTTTGCACAATTTGGAACTGTATAACTAATGCATGTATTCATGTGTGTTTTCTTTTGTTACAATGGACCACAACAGAAACTTCACCAAGAAGAAAAAAAAAAACAAACCAACAAACAGGTTTTTGGTTTTCTCTCATTTCATTTTATTTTGGTCATTTTGCAGGGTGCTGTATTTTGCCGTTATGAAACTCCTGTGAAAATACCAGTGAGAAGAACATTGACACTGAAATTTCTCTTCACCTTTAAAAATTTTGATTCTTGCTTTGTTTTCCATTTCTACTGCACTGATAGCATCCTGAGAATGAAAATCCATGCASTGTGAGAGAAATAACTCGGCAAAATACAATGCCCTTTTTTTTTTATTTATTTACGTTCACAGTACATTAAGCTGAGGAGCTACTGAAAATAATGTTGTCTGCTTCTGATGCTGAGGGTTTTTTTCCTCCTTTCCTGCAGAGAATAGACACGACGACGTCTCAGGAGATAACTTCCAGTGACATGAAGCAAGCAGATCAGCCGGATCAGGATACAGTGSAGAAGGTTGTACAGGAGACTGTAGTTGTCAAGGAGAGACATGGGATGGAGGTGCATGCAGGAGGGGACCCTGCTAAAGYGGCCGGACTTGCGCTGGATGCCCAGGCTGAGGCAGCATCGGCGGTGGCTGCTGGCGCGAAAGGGAAAGAGGGCTCTGCTGGGACTGAGGGGGCGAAGGAGGAAAAAAGGGAGGAGGCTGGCAAAGCCCTAACCAAACAGGAAGGAGTCGCCGCCGCTGCTTCGTGTGAGCAGGCGGAGGAGCACAGAACAACAGTCCAACTTTCAGAGTCTTTGGAAAGAAAACCTCATTTTGAGGTAACTTGTTGTTAAATTGGTCATATCTGTGCTGAAATGTGAATGTAGGCAATAGTAAATTAAGTTAATTCCTATCATCGAAAGTAAAGTGAGCCCAGCTTGTATGATTGCACTTTTACAGCTTTTTTCTCCTCTTATTTCCTCCTTGCATGTCACCTGCAAGGCTTGCTGCTGGTTTCCATCATCAGCAAAATGCCGTGCATGTTTTACTTGAAAGTGCTTTTCACACTACAGAGAAATACCAAATTTCACGGTATTTTATGCAATAGATAACAAGATCAGCTGGCATTCTGTTTGGGAAAGTCCATGGAGGCTGGCAAAGTTCACATGTCCTCAAAGACACGAAATAGATTGTTTTTTTCTATGCTTGGTGCAATTACAAATAAGTGTACTCTGTCTTAAACAGACCATGCTCCTTATCTTAGCCCTGGGTAGAATTTCAAGAGCTGTTTTGTTGAGGGTTTTTTTTTCTGAGAGCTTTAGTTAGAAAACTAAGCATGGACAAGATTTTCATTCTCTTGTCATTTTAAGAAAATGTAGAATTGCAGATTCTCAGAACAGCTGAGGCTGGAAGGGCCCTCTGGAGCTCATCTGCTGCAACCCCCTGCTCAGGCAGGGACATCCAAAGTGAATTGCAGCTCAGGACCGTGTTCTTCTTCCAAGWATCTTCAAGGAAGGATGCTCCATAATCTCCCTGGGCAACCTGTGCCAGTGTTCAGTCACCCCCGCAGTGAAAGGGCATTTCCTGATTTTCAGAGGGAATCTCCTGTTTTTCAACAGGAGTGTTTTTCAACTTRTAGTGTTTAGAACATTTTGGACTTTGTTTTCATAAAATCCAGGGAGGTGCTAAAT